AATAAAAAACTAATGATAAGGGGGCATTACTCTGTATTTTCACAAAACTCTTTAATGTCTGCCTTAATAGAAGACAGCAGAATTCTCCTATCGCCTTCTGCAATCAATTTTTTTGTTTCTATCTGTTATTTTGGTTGAAGTATATAAAGAAAATCCAGCCTCACATAGACATGTAACCAGGAAAGAAAGAGGATTTTAATAGTCTTTTCAGATAATTGTGGGTATACTTCCTTGATATTATATCAAAATTCAACAAGTGGTAATTTCTTAGAGTTTAGTTGGAATGTGGAAGCATACATTGAAATCCATTGTTCTACTTTACACTTTGAATCAGTATCTCACACATGCATGATTTTGCAACAATATGTATTGATTATTTGGAAAACATTGGTTTACTGAGCTATATATTAATAGATCTTTCAAACATTGACACATTTTATAAAATCATCACACTGGTTAGTATCACTATCAATCTTATCTGAAAATTCCTCAAGTATTGGAAAACAGTCAAGCTCACTTTGGCAGATAAAAATGTTCCAGAATTAAAATTTTCATGTGAAAGACTGAATTTTTATCATCGGCAAGAACTGTCTTTGTTTTCCTTGCAATCACCGGCTCATTCCATTCATTTTCATGAAAGTGTCTGTCAAATACCTAAGTTCCAATAACCAAAACTGTCATTTTTTCAAGTAAAAATGGTGTTCTATGAGCAACTAGATCAATTCGCAACTTAAAATCTGCACAAGCACTTTTCTTCAATACAACAATTTTGGTAATGCAACAGAAGTACTTTATCTGTGCTTCTCATTTTGTGGCATGGAATTAAAAAGATAAGTATTCAAGGGTTCAGATTTTAGAAAATTAATATTTTTTACTGTTTCATCAAAGACATTCTTATATGAAATTATCACTTTTTAAAATATGGGTATGTGGTAGTGAATAACTGGTACAGGTTGGTACCACTACCTTGATTCGTGCAAAGATACTAGCAGCTAGCAGTTTGGGCCACCATTGCTTTTGCAGTGCAAATATCAATAAAACGAAAAAGGAGAGCAATGTAT